TCTGCTCGCGTTTAGCTCTGTAGCTGATAGTTGACGTTACTGGAGAGTTGCATGGAACGGCTAATTATATTACTTTGCTTTACACTGAAATCGTACTTACTTATATAATATATCCATCGTCTTCATAGTATGTTTCTAATCTGCTTTTAGATAATTGGTAAATACTTATCACTTTGATAAGCTTTTACAAGATAATAGTGCTTGGAACTCGTCACAGAAGAGCTTCCCATTAAATACTACGCCGATGGGTCGTCTAAAAAAAGAAAAAGCTTGTATCGTTCGAGCGATTCATTACGACACACCCAAACGCGAGATAAGCGGAGCTTTAGAGCGAACAAAGACGCTGACTTCTTTTCATCAGGAAGCTATTAAATTTTCGCTGCGCCGAGATAGCTCGAGAGCGGCCAAGAGCATCGCTTACGTGGGCACTTTCGCGCCGACTCGGCTGTTGGCTCGCGGACGCGCAGCAGTGCCCGCGTTAATTAGTTCGCTCTTCCTGAAAACTGTTTGTCTTGAGCCCTGAAGGAAGCAGAATCGAGCTGCTCACCCTATGTTGTTTCAGCTTTTGATAGGTGGACTAGACTGCGTTGGATCGTCGACGGCTTTTTCAATGCGAATACGATGAATCGCGTCATATTGGATCAAACGTAAATTGAAAGAAAAGCCAAACGTAAATTGAAAAAAAAGAAAAGTGGCTTGTGCGATACGTAACTGTAATACGTCCTGCTTTCAAGAAATAATCTGAGCTTCGCAAGCACAGTGTATCAATTTCATTCGCCATCGGAGATATAAACTTCCCTCCGAAAACAAATCATATTAGACTGAAATCAATCCCAAAGAATACGAAACTCGAGTAGAGGAAAAAAAAACGTTGCGCGCCGAACAACAGCCATATTTCACGATGGAAAAACCTCGTCCGTAAGTTGGTGCGAGCTTGCGCGCCTCTCTCCCCTTTCCAGCGAGATCCATTTTAAAGTTCTAAACAACTCTACCTTCGTCTCTGTGTTGCTGCGCGGGAAAGACAGGGAAAAAAGAAAGGAGAACAATTTTCCGGAATTCCGCGATCTCCCTCTTGCGAGTTCGAGCGTCACATTACTTTGTTATCGCTGCTGCACACTTTTCCAGCGCACAGATGCGGAAAATTATTTGCCGTCGAAAGTGTATTCGCAATTACGTACACTTGTTTTCTCGGGCACCGAATACACAGTTTGTCAGTCTCTTATACAGCCCTGCAGCACGGCTGTTCGGCTCTTTGTATGTACACGCATCTTCGTGTTGATGTTCTCGAGAGTGAAGCTTTCTCGACTTCATTTTGGCTAGTGGAAAGATGAAACTGAAGTTTGTTTTTCTTTTCGAAGATATTTGTTCACATTGGAGATTGAAGCTTATTAGCTACAGACAAGCGAGCACGAAAAATTGACAGTAGTGTAAGAATAAGTAAGAACAATAGGCTTGTCATACGCTAGTGCAGCAGCAGGGTGCAGAACAATCGGAACGAGTTTTTAATTAGCTACTTAGGCATCGGCTCGAGCGGCTCACTTCAAAAGCGCCGAGTAGTTAATTCTTAGCTCTTTAGCAAACAAGGCTGTTAAAGACACAGAGCAACGGAAGGGCTGGGGAGCGGCAAGTTGACGCGAACGGAGGGAAGAAAGGGAAACAAGAAGAGGCCGTAAACGCAGCTTGGAAGCTGCTCAGCGAGGTGCAACCGAAGGCCAACACTCGTTGCGCTATTGTCGAATAAACAAGAGCCTCCAAACTTCCGACTGAATGTGCATCTCTGCTTTCGCTACTGCGCTGCTGCTGTAGGCGAACTTCGAGAGGCCGTAGTCGCCGAGCCAATGGGATTTTGCTGCAAAGACGAACATTTACGCCTTGATCGCTCGCGATTATTCCAGCTATGAAATGATGCAAAACGATGTTATTTCAAATGACTTCCGTATGCTGCTGTATACAATCACATTTTCGTCAGCTCGACGTTAAGTATCAACTGAATTTCTAACGCACAAGTTAATTTCAAATATGAAATACGTTCCAACTTTGCTGCAGTAGTTTGTACGGCAGAATTGAACAATAAATAAAAGCCTCACAGGAGAGGCGAGACGTAACTCGTTATTAAAAGTTATATTTCAAAACGTAAGCTTCAGAGATTAAAATATGGAATATCTCAAGCGCAGTTTGCAGTAAATCTCATGGTTCATCCCTTGAGTCGGCTTCGCTCCTCCACTACTTCTCTGCTCTTCTTCGGCGAGACTTTTATTTTTACATGCCGCGCGAGCGCAAGATGCTCCGCGACTCACCTTGCTCAATTCCGGCCTCGGCCGAGATTTTATTTATCTTGTCTGCAGCAGCGCGCCGCCATTGCCGCCGCCGTCGTTCGCCCTAAATTCAATATTAATTAGGAACTCGATGCTCTTCTTCCCTTTCTTTCGAATTTCTCCACTACCTCTTACTTAGTTTGCCGAGAAAATTTCCTCTTTTGCCGGCTCTGTTTTTCTTTCTTGGATTTTTCAACTTTGTATGGATCATTTTTTCTTACTTAATTTTCTTCGTGCACAGTTTGGAACTTTACCGAGGAAAGCAAAAAAACAAACTTGCAGATACGTCGATCATTCTCAATTAGATCGTTTCTGACATCGTCCACGAGACTACAGTGAAAAAATATGAAAAAATCGAGTGAAAGTTGAAAACCCCAAGGGCGAAGGGATTATCGGATCAACTACTCCGAGACTCGAATCAAACGGAATTGGCGATTTAGCGCCGAGTGAGCGATGGCAACGAGAAGAACGACCTGCTACCTGCAGCAGTACTAGTCTATACGGATTGTCAATATTGAGGCGCGATAAATACGGTTCATGATCCAAGTAATCGGGTCGCCTCGCTTCTACGCGTTTCCACTTTTTTATTCTCAATTTTCCAACTTTGCTACTCAAGCGCTTGTACTCGTGCTTTTATTTTCGTTCGCCACTTGATGTGCTTTCACATGCAATTTCGGAATGTATCAATGAAGCTTTCTGCACAGGTAGGCCTGTCTCGAGGGAAGCCGGCATACGGCAAAACGAAAGTTGGAAGAAACAAGGGTAAACAAAAGAGCCAGCGAGCGTTATCGTACCCTCGCGAGCGTGCAACGCGCGAAACTCATCCCCTCGGGCTGGCAGTGGTCTCTTGCGCGCTCGCAGCGGCAGCCGGCCTAGCCAAAGCCCCCCTAAGCATCGTAACGCCGTATTACCAGCGAGTGCAACTGCACGCGTATTAGTCTGTTTAGGCCTGACAGGAGACTATGTATTTCCAGTGGTATGTTTGGGATTTGCAGAACGGCTATGCGCGCTATCCCCGTCCCTCTCGCGATTAATTGGCTGCGGATTATTTTTCAGACCTGATGTATGTAGTGGATTTTGGGCTTTTGATTTCAAGTCGGCCGATCTTCTCAATCAATATATATCGCATTACCACTACTGATTAATTTACCAGAATAACTTCAACCATCCTAAGTACATTTGTTATTGCACACCTCATCCCAAAATATACATAGGAGGGTAGATCAATACTCGAGAGCTCTGCGTATATTTAAGGATAACCTCGACATTGTAGCTCAACGCTCTGTACACTTTCACCGGTACACAGTCGACTTCCTTCCTCCGGGCGGCCCTCCCGTGTGCTCTGCCTAGCTTCCTTCCTTATTCGCTCATTCCCCTTATACGTCGTTAGTTGTGTCTCACACACCATGTCTCGGCGCTATCGAGCTTCCTCTTTTCATTTTTATACCTTCCTCTCTTTTGCTCGTAGGATGTACGAGAAACCGATGCCTGCCTGAATTTCTAAGATTTCGAGCTTTATGAGCTGCGAGGGTGCGTTGTACCTAATCTTCTTTTGAAAAGACTTTTTATGTGCGACATGGGTTTTTCATGCGAAAACTGACGGGCACGGTTATTGGCCAAATTGCAGTGCTTTCAAAGATATGTATTTCGCAAGTCAATGTTTAACGTAATTTTGTATAATCGGCATTACGCTTGCGCACACAAAATTTATCGCAGTACAGATCACCGTAAGGAAAAGAAGTTGCTTCCCCAGCAACGTGTCCAGCCATTCCGGTACCGGACGGCGAAAAAAGGCGAGCACGGAATTTTCCTAGCGAAAGAAATCGAACCGACCGTCGCATCGCTGACACGACGAACTCGGACGGCGAAGAAGTAGCGATCGCGTTTCGTTTTTTCGCCGAGACGACGTGCCAGCGAAATCACGCGTTCCTTTCAGCTTTGAGCTTCCGAGCGACTTCTAAGGCTGTTTTTACGGAACTTCTTCATACGTCCTTTCTATCGTACGCTGTTTTCTTTGTTTTAAGATGGGCTAATGGACTGGTCGTTGTGTAACACGACTATGTTATTGAGTTTGATGATAAAAATATTTATCAGGATAAATGGTAAAATGAGAGATTGATTTCGAGATTTTACTTTAGCAAAAAATAAAAAAAAAAACTAAATCAAAGTCATTTCGTAAAATTACATGTCTCAAAAGGATAGATAGGGTATAAATCGAGCAATTTATAAGGATGTACACAGCAATAAGAAATCAAGCTGAGTTGGCGATAAATTCAATGAATCAATCACTTTCCAACGGGTCTTTTTTCCCCATTGTCTCGCGTTGCTCTCGAAGGATATTGCTCTTCGGAAGATCGCGCCTCGCGTCTGAGGACTACGCGAGAAAAGAGACGGATCGAGAGACTGCGGCTGCCTAAAGCCGAGAAGCTACTCGAGACGCTGAATTATTCAGAGAGACGAGGCAAAACTTTGCCCTATTCGCGCGCATACGACGTCGTCACCTCCGGCATTCCGTGTATGTAAATTTTCCCGCGGGATATTTAGCTGCCTAAGCGGCTTCTTTTTTCACCACCTCCTCCTTCCCTCCTGTATTTAGCTCGAGGATGAACTTTCGTTTTACTACCGTAGCGTGCGTGAATTACTGTTGCCAAGGGATTAATTGCATGCAATTTTTTTTTATTGCAGGATCCGCCTTGATGAGGATCGTCGAGGTATACAAGCAGATTCAAGAGCAGGAGACAAACATTGTAAGTTCATTCATTATTTTTCATTAGCTAGAGCTAATTATAAATGGGCATTAAAATACATGCTAACAATTTTTTTTATCATTCAAAGTTATTTAACATTTTATAAGGAACTTCATTTTCAAATACAATCAACTAGGACTGACTATTTCGTATAGTTTTGAAGACAGAAACAGAACTATCATGTATTAGCATTTAAATCATGTTCTTTAAATGGAAATTCTCTTCTCAACTTGATTCTCCGATTTGAATTTATTTTCATAAGTTGTATTTCTTACCTAAAACGATATGAAACAAGAAACTTTTGTTTAATAAACGGGAATGCTCTCGCCGTCAAGCCGAATTTATGTGAAAAATTTACTTCAAGTTGCGAAAGAAAATGAAACAAAATAAAAAGGAAACCACCAGCAAAGAACGCGAAGCATGTGGTCCAGCGTAATTAAGAGTGTTCGTGCTGAGGGCAACGTTTCGCGCGTAAATAAAGTATGCGAGTGCGATCCCGCGGGGAGTGTATTAATTGGGAAGTCGCGGCCTTCTTCGTTTAATCCGGTATGACCTTTGATCTTTTACCGACTTCCAAAAGTTTGCCGGAGCAAGAATGCGCAACTACTGTGTGCGCACTCCGGGATTTCACCATTTACAAGCCAAGTTTTTTTTTATATAATTCAAGGAGGTAATGGAATTATTTAAATTTCTTTTCTGTTAAGGGAAAAGTAGATCTGAGAAATATGACAATGATGATTGAAAAAAAGTTCCATATAATCTTTGTTTCTTAACTAGAAAATCTTTACGGTTTTAATTGAAAAAATTATTAAGACGAAGTCACTAGTCAAAGTAAGAAAAACAGTTTATATCTTTCTTGGCAAGTTTCTTTTTCATCCTCCTTAGAGCGGAAACCGCCAGCAGAGCGAAATTCTGGTACAAAGGATCGATCGACGAACAGTTTTTCAAGAAAAAAGCTCTCTATAGTTTTCAAGGGTTCTCGTCCTTGAGCTTCATCGCTTGAAAATCGATTGGCCTAGGCTTTAAACAAGCATCCTCCTCTTTAAGCTTGATGCGCCTTTTGCAACGTACTTAGCTCTAGAAATGGGATAATAAATATTTGGGTGGAATATCAAGGGACGCCGAGCACGTTTTTGCCGCTGGAGGTACAAGAGAAGAAGAACCACTCGAGCGGCGCGATGGTCGCTTCATTCTCTCTCTCTCTCTCTCTTGCTTTCACTTGAGACCGTTGTTCCGGTTTGATATAACCTCAATATAGCCAGAGATGAAGGGTGGCTACCCTTTTGATCGTGCCGATGGCAAGTATGTGCGGCAAACGAATTCTTGCAAACGAGGGCCGAAAATGCTTTATTGTGAATGCTTACGATCTTCGACAGATTGTTGCCAAAGTTTTTGCCAAAATATTGTAATTCATAAACTCTAAATATCTCTCTAAATATAACTCTAATGCAAACTCTAATAATACATAGAATTTAAGTAAATATTATCAAGTACGTCGTTATTCGTAAATTATATACATGAGTTGCAGTGAATATTGAAAATGTTATGAGATGCTTCTTTCTTATTTATAAAACATTAAGGAACCCTCTCAGTATTTAAAATTTTCTTAATAAACTCATTTCATTCGAATGCTTGATTTGCATTCAGCGAATACACAAGCTCATCTTAATTCCGCGGCTTAATTTGAATACCAAAGATCAGTGGTGCCTTTGAATAAAGGACTACCCGAAGCCCCGTAAAATTGCATTTAGCAGTTAATTCGCAACCTCAATATTTCTTTCAGCTGTAGCGATAGGGTAGCAGCTCCATTAAAATGAAAAAAGAAAGGGATTCGTTTTTAAAGCTTCCGCGCGGGCTTTAAATACCATCAATCGACCGATTCCTTCGAAAACGAAAGTACGCGAGACCAGCGTTCATAAATTAATGAAGCTTAGCCTCGATACTTTCTGTGAAAGAAGAAGCTCTTCCAGAGAGACATGAGAATTGCGGTTTTTCCGCAGCGTTGGAAGCCAGCCAGTTCTTATTTATCTGTCGGACCGACCACTTGGACTTGCGAGTAAATTGTACGTGCCTACTTTCTTCTTTTACTATGGTTAAACAGCAAAATGATCTAATTACAGTACGCACCGAGTCTCAAGCTCGACGTTCGTGAGAATATTTGCTCTCGTCTTTCTACGCAATCGGGAAAAGCAGTTCATGAAATTATTATTAGTAATTTTAGATAAATGTAGAAATGAGTAAATCTATATATATATATATATATATATATATATATATATATATTTATCCTCATTGGATATCCGGTGTGTTATAAGTAACAAACCGAACAGCAAACTCAATTACAACAGTGCGCAGATAATGTAAAGGCGTTATCAAACGAGTGTTAGCCGTAGAAAAGTAAAAAAAGCCGTAGCTCCAAGAGAAACATATTGGAGCCTAGGGAAAAGCAGTCTATGTAAAAAAATGTGTAAAGGACACACAGCGCTAACTCTTGTACAAATTTGCAGAGATACGCAATGCAAAGGATACACGTTTACGGGTATATTTGCTCTGCGACTGGTTTTTGAACCGAGAAATTTTTTATGATGTCACTATGATTACTTTCAAAACTTAATATGACTTCAGGATGTAGTTTAGAGCAAAGTCAATATTATTAAGATATCAAATTTTTTCAATGTTTCGAGCGCAACAAATTATTTCTTTGAACTTAGTAATAACGAAGAATTAACTGAAAGCACTGAAAAATTCACTTCTTGCTGGAAGAATACAATTTCAAGACTTTATCTTTTAAACTGAAAAAAGTTCGTGACAAAACGTATCGTGAAAAGAAACTGGCTACCTTTCGTCAAACAGGATTCAACCCATGTAAATCCTTGCTCTGCGAAACGAGGCGGAATATCGGGGGTGTTTTCATTCCCTTTTACGTGCTCTCGAAACGGTCTTAGGGGTCGTCCCAAAGTGGCTTATAAAAATTCAATGTTAATTTGCATGAAATTTCGTTAATTTATTACAGTAAGCAAAAAGCAATGGCTCATGCTTCGTAGAAGTTATATTTAAGAGAATTTCAGGGAAATGGCCATTTTTAACATTATTCAACGATCCAATTGGAATTGATAGAAACATTAATGCAACATCCACTCGTTTTTTTAAGTTAATCAAGCATAGAATACATACAGATGTAAATTTTTGCCGTAACTACTGTTATGATGCCAATTGTAGATCAGCAGAAAATGTTAATTCATCCTTATTTTTTAATTAACTGTATTAATGAACGTCATTTAAAAATCTCCTTCTATAAAATGATCAGAAAAAAAATTGCACATGCCAATACAAAAGGTGCATACTAGTATAAAAGAGCCGAGTACAAAGCCCCGAAGTCCAGACAGACATACGGCGCCGACACTGCAATATTCGAGTGCGAATGCTGCAACGCCAACTCTAGGGCTCTAATCAATGTTCATTAAACCGAAAGCGAGAATGGAAAAGAGCGATCTACTGATCCGAAAACAGTGTGCGTGGAGGGGTGGCTTATTGGATTTACCTGATACGCACGTGTGGGCCAGTGACGTGTGCAAACGCCGAGCACTTCGTTATTTTATAATGGGAAAACATTTTCAATTTGTGCCGCCTGCCACGATCTTTTTTTATTTTGTTATTCGCGCAGTGTTAAACTAGCCTGTACGAGAACCTCTGCATCTGTTTGAATACGTAAAAATTTTTACACGCGAGAGTTACTGCGCCATCCGTGATCCTGCAAATCAGAAGATTCTGGTTGATATATAGAACTGGTTTGTTGTTGTACCGTCGAATATTAGAGAGCTGGAAATTGTTTTTTTACTGTATTGCTCCGCGAATGTAAATAATGATATTAAATAATTAGCGTGCGATGGTTTATTAGGAAGACGTTATTATTTAACTCTGTAAATGGGTAAAATCTTACGACATGGTGTGTCATTATATCTTCTCGGCAATTAACCTAGATGGAGTCTGACGCAGCTGCAAAGTGCTCTTGCAAACATTTAGCGTGACATGTACACTTGCATTCAAGTTTATCGACCTAATGTGAGAGAGAACAAATGTAATTCTCTTTGTTTCGCGTGTCGGTCTTGTTGTATTTACAATGAAAATTCTGATATAAAAAGAACAACGAAGCAAGGTTTACAACAAGCAAAACTAATGGAATTATATATCATTTGCAGCTTAAAGCATTCTACGTGGATTTGCTGGTGCCGCTGGAAACGAATCTAGAGAAGGACACAAAGGTTGTTCAGGTAAGTGTGTCACGTGTCGCGAAAATGATGTTCAAACAAAGAAAGACCCGCCAGACAGAGAGAGAGAGAGAGAGAGAGAGAGAGAGAGAGAGCTTACGGCGTTGTTTTGTGCTTGCAGAGCGAGCAAAAGAAATTTTTGCAACAGCACAAGACGCGTAGCGAGACGTATAGCAAGGCCGCCGCGACGATGAAGAAGCAGCGCAAGAAGTCGCGAGGTGCAAGCAAGAGCGGCCTCGCCATGGACAAGGAGCTCAAGAACATGCAGATCCTCGAGGAAGAGAAATCCAAACTCGACGCCTTCTGCGAGCAGAGCCTCAAAAATGTATGAGACACGCCTCCCAGCTACTCTTGACGCAACAAACGTTTTTCCCGTTTCCCTTCCTGCTTTCCTCTTTCTTTTTAAGCGCACTCAAGCCGTAACGCACTGACTCTTTGACTCGCGAAATCTAAACAGTTCCGTCAGAGACAAAGCTCCCAACATTAGCTTTGTAATTTCCTTGTGCAAAAGAAATTCTTAGCTTGGAAAAAGAAGCACCTTCTGTGCATCGGCGAGCGAGTTTAACGGTTGAATATTGTCGTAACTTTCGATAGGCGATGACGCAAGAGAGGAGGAGGTATGGCTTTGTGCTGGAGCGACAATGCTCACTTGCAAAACATTATGCGAGCTTCCACGAAGTCGCCTTGGCGGCATTACATCCATCAGTGGACGAGTGGCGCGAGGTAGCCAACACTCGTGAGTACCTGCCCCAAGCCGTCGAAGATATGTTCGCTTCTCGACTCAGAGTGAGTTTCACGAAATACAATTATTAATTCCTTAAGAAGATTCTTGTGAGACAAACGGTTTTCAAATATACATTTGCCGTGTGTTGTACGCTGTCTTACTATAATCAAAATCAATCGTTAAAATACTTTCACCCACAATTTTAATCCATCTCCGTGAGCGATTGCTCTCAATGCTCGACTGGAGATGATCCATAAAAGATGCAGAAGGCACTCAAACTGCGCACTCTGTTTGACAGCAAGTATCATTCTGGCCAGAAGACGAGGAGAACGGCGGCTCGGAATTGACGATGAGCTCACAGCTGCGCAAGACCCGTAGCATGGATAGCTCGTGCCTAGAGCTCAGGCTGGGACCAGTCCAGAGTCAGTCGACCAGTGCTGGACTTCACAGCCACGCTAACAACAATACGAACAGTCACTCGCAGGCTGCACTGTCGCGCGCTAGATCTGAGGTCAACATACACTCCTCTACGCTCTCGCTGGGACCTGGTAATGCAATGATGTTTTGTTAATTTCACACCAACTTTCTCTATAAATACTCAGTAGAGCTGTAGTATTACTGAAGAGCAGAGAGATTCGTATTTCTATAGAATTTTTATTTCTATACGATACTCACAATCAGTTATACAAAGCTTTCAAGCGCACAAATTAATTACATCTCAATTTTTTCATGTGTTCTAATCGATTTTCTTGATTAACTAACAAGCTCGAGCGCACATATGCGTAATTAACTTTGCTGAAGAGTTCAATATCGATGGGTCAAAAGCAAAAATAAAAATTGTTGGATCGGGCGAACTGAAAGCTCGCGAAAAAAAGCAACATAGCTGATATTCGACGCTTCGATATTCAATCAGTGAAAAAATATTTTCCGCGAATTTCCGCTTCAAACTTTTCCCCTTGGCTCTCGTGATGCTCGCTGAATAGCTATGAAGCTTTTCGTAAATTTATTAAAATATTGTTTGACTGTGTCCTTGAGAGCGCAATCCAATTAATCTGATTAAATGAAATCGATGAAAGCCGAAGAAGAAACTTTCGACTTTAATGAATTTGATATTTCTTTGAAAATTATTCATGCACTGACAATCAATCCGATAAAATCCCTTTTCCACTCAGCAACGTGAATATTATATTGACCAATTGTATGCGATAATTAAGTAAATTTCGTAAACTTTTACAAAGCGAACGAACGGCCTTAATCAATTGTATAAGAGAGTCAATTGGATGAGAACATACAGGAAATTCGAATGTAAAGAGTCGTTTTAAACGTGTTTACCAGATAGAGAACGCCCAACAAACTTAATTGAGAGTCTCCAGGCTTAGCTCGTCACTTGAGCCGAGCGCGTGCATATACAATTTCGCGGCGTCAAAGTGAATGAGGCCCCACCCACTGTCGCCTCCTCACCCCTTCGCCGCCGTAATAGCGTCTGATTCTCGAGAGCGTTAATACACCTTCGTTATCGTTCGTCGGCTCTGGGCAAATTATTATTACCAGAGGGGACGGAGCAACTACCCCGTCTAGACGAGCGTTCTGTCTTAGTGCGCAAATTTGCATCGAGACTGCAGATCCTCACACGCGCTACCTCGCTTTCGCTTCCGAGTGTGCCTGCCGACAACGCGCCGTAAAAGTACACGTGACGAACGTTAGTTTGCTCGTCCTACGTCGAGTACTCGGCATATTTTGTTATTCTTGTCCTCGAACTCCCGCTGGTCACTGCTCACGTAATTGAACGAATAAATGATGAAACTCGTAAAGTCCGCTGGAAAGAAGTGCCAAAGCGAGCGGCTGCAAGCTAACGAAGTATCGCTTTTTACGCGCTGTGCAGAGGTGCCGGACACCCCGCCACGACCACGATCCATGGCGCCGGTGAGCCGCAACAGCGGTGGCATAAGTGCCGGTTTGATCGCTGGCGGCTGGGCGGAAGCGCCTCTCGCCCGAGCTCTCTTTGCCTACCTCAGCTCCGGCGAGAATCAGCTCAGCTTCCACGAGGGTGATCTCATTGCGCTCATGGGTAAGTATCCCTTGAGCCGATATGCCTATTGCGCCTCGTTGCTCGGACGCTCGTAGCTTTATTAGCAAGCAATTCAGCGGAGCAACTATCAAATCGATCATTTCTTTGTCGCAGTAGTGAAAACCGAGTTCGTTCAGCCGCGCATTAACGACGGCTTCTCCGCGTCTAAATTAACGCGTTGATTATTATTTCGGTTGAGCTCAAAATTGCGTATTGATTTATCCGCGCTGAGCGCTAATAAACGGTTATTGTTCGACGGTGTATACCGATGAAGTGCTTACAATTACTGACTCTTTGTTTCACGCGCGCAAAGGCGATCGACAAAAGGGTTGGCAGTTCGGCGAGAATCTGCGCACTCAATGCTCCGGATGGTTCCCCTTGGCTTACACTGAAATTATCATCGACGAAGCACTAGGGTAAGCCAACAACAGCTACCAATTTAGTTTTCCATCGCCTGCACTAACCGACAGCAATTTTCCTATTCACATTGTGTTCTATGCGAAGATAACATATTTTAAGCGTCGGGTGAAATGTTAGTTGACAAAACCGGTACACCGAATTTTCATCGCGATTGGAAAACAAAAGAGACGCGCTTAATCCGGTTATTCGTTGGCTCGATAACATAATCGAGAACAATGTGTTACTGAAATCACTGGGTCGCAGCAGCTCGAGCAAAGGTCCAGACTTGAAGGGGATGCCACCTAGTAAGCCGCCTCCATCCCGACCACCAATACCCAACAACGATGAGAATAGTGGCGGCAGTAATAACAACAACGGGGAGAGTAACGGACACGCTAATCACAATGGCACTACGTCCAATGGTAGCACTGCCATAACTAATAGCGTCGCCAAAAGCAGCAGCTCACACAATATCGCTAATCCGTCCAATCGACAAAGCAAAGTGAGTATCATAAAATTGTTTTGTTTGACTTTTGGCTCAGTTTCTTAATGCTTGCACGCAAGAACGATATTATTCCATTTCGAATCGAGAAATCATAACATTGCTCCAATAGAAGATAATTCAATTACCGATGAAAAATTTGCCAGAGCCAAATAAAAAGAAAATAAAGCATAAAAGAATGAAAAACGTCAAAAGGAAATCCTCGTAAAAATCAGCATGTTAAGCGCAGTAGGCACAATTCCACGCAGTCCAGAGCGAAAAATAGAGCACCGGCTCACCAAAGAGTAAACGAAGCACTACTATATATGCATGTGCTCGTATTTTTTTTTCTCTCTTTTCTCCGACAGATCCGTCCAACTGGAACGTTGCCGACGTTGCTAGCGGGTGGCGTTGGAACCGGACGACGAGTGCAGCCACCGGTGCCACCAGTGCCGCCGCCCCAAGCAGTTACCTCGTTGCACAGTAGCAACGACAGTGGTTTCTCCAATGAACCACCCGTCCAGCCGGACATCGATTACAGCGACGATGAGGCCATGAGGTGAGAGTCATCGGGGATCGGCATGCTGGAGCTTGTTCAAATTTTAAGCTGCCTCTACCTTATGTTACCTTTACTTTTTTCTATTCCCTACGTCATCGTACAGAGTCATTGCGAATGAAAGTGGAAAATGTTCTTTGAATCAGGTGGGAATGTTGAAAAAAAGGTAACAAGTAACAAGAGGTCGAGCGGTTGAATTTCGAGCGAGCTCCTTCAGTATCTTATCTACTCGAACGGGAAGCTCGGGTTTTCTCAATTAAAATTTCAAGTTTCATTTAATAGCCCCCTTAGTAGCTGCTTCATTTCATAGCCTAATGATCGGATCAGCATGTTAACGCAAGCTTTGTATAAAAAATTGCAATTGTCTGCTCTATTTATTTTGAAGCTTCATTTTGTCAAATATACCACATGAATCTATATTTAGTTTAGTATTGGAAGTATGTAAATATAGTAATTTTACTTTGTAATGTTATAGCAATCATTTTATTTCGTTTTTTCCAATGAATGCAATGAAAGTCTTTACGGTTGGAATCGAAGTCGAATTTTTAAAATAAAAATATTTCAATTGATTGCTTTTTCGAGCAACGTGAAGACTTAAATTGCATGACTATTGAATAAAAGTCCCCTTTGGCAATATTACTGGCTAACTTTGAATGTAATAATAAACCTAGCTTCAGAGTCAACTCGTGCTCAGCACTTAAAACGTCTTGTCTTTTGTAGCATTCTTATAATATGAAACGAACAAAGGGTGTGAGCCTTATGTTTAATGAAGTAGCATTACATAAAACAAGAACTCTTCTCCCGTTCTACTGTTGTTATTTCGGAGGAGCTTTTACTCTTTGGATTACGTTTTGTTTTGTTTTTTTCTTTCGTTCTTTGTAGATTCCGCATGCGTTACTGCGATCGATGGAATTAAATGCGACGGTGGTGGACTTTACTGACCTTCGGTCCCCGTCTCTTCTTTCTATTCTCTTCACTATGGCTCCTCTTAAAGACCACCAAAACTGTTTTCCTTCCAGAGACTAAAATAAAAAAACGTAAACCTGTCCTACCTCAACTTGGCACGTAGCGTCTTTATATTGTCTGGTGCTTGGTCTTTTGGCACTATCGAATTCTCCATTTCTCTCTATGTCCTCTTTCTTTTCTTCTGCCGATAAATTTTTTCGAGTGAAATTTCATTCAGTTATCTCGCAATAAAACATTTTCATAGATCTATGACTTACAAATCGAATAAAAATGATATTATTCGAATTATAAATATTTACTTTTCATTGCAGCGAATGTAAGATATTATTTTACGTTTTATATTAAAGTAGATATTTTTTGTTTTAGCATAACCTACGTATCAATTTCTTGTTTAGTTTTAGCGTTAGATATTTTGATAGCGTACCTAATTATTTTTATTTTTTTCAAATATACAATGTAGAGGATTCACTCCAAAAAATTTCAGTATTTTCCTCGACTATCACTCATCTATCATCTTTCGCACCCGTTCGTTTTCTTTTGTTTTTTTTTTGTTCTCTTTTCTTTCGTTCACACGACCCAACTCCCCATAAAACAGACTAAGACGACGCAAGGCAGCAGACCGACCCACCAAGCAGTCCAAACACAAGTCAAGCAACAGCAAGGAGGAGGTTAAGATCAAGAGCTCGTCCGAAAACAAGGACTGGGAGAACGACTCGTGGAAAACAATTCCACGTGATGAAAAATCTTGGCACATCTATCGTAGCAGTATGACGGAGTATTGGTCCGATGCCAGTGCCACCGTCAACAAAAACGAAAACGCAAAGTCCGAAGAACGTAGAAACATGCGCAACTCCGAAAATGATTCAGCTGGACCTACTAAGAAGGAGCGAAAGCAGCAACAGCAACAACAACAAGAGAATAATTTGAAGAACGAGTACGAGAATACAAGATCGGTGGCTAGAATTTCAAACTCAGATAGAAATGGTGGCAAATTTTCATCCAGCGAAGATCATGGCAACACAAATAGAGGATATAACCGTCGATCTGATAGAGAGGAGGAAAGGTCAAGACACGAAAGACGTGAAATTGAAACAGAGGATGACGAGATAGAAGTGGAAGTAGACGTCGAGGAGGAAGAAGATGAGAGCTACAATGTGAGCATTGAGTATCGTTCAGAGAAATATGAAAATAAAAAGTATTATGACAATCATAACAATGACAATTACAGTCGAGATAACGATTCCAAATACGATAATGAGAAAACCAGTGATTCATCGCCATCGCAATCATCAGAATCAGACGACGAAACCATTCCGGAAACTGGTAGAAAAGTTGAACAAATAGCCCAGAAACTTGAACAGACAGCTCAAAAGTACGCAAAAGAGCATAGTCCAACCAAATTTATTGAGAGGCGCAGCATAGATTACAACAAAAGTACTCTCGAGCGAACACGGGATGATTCTAAGCCATCTACAGCCGCATACGAGAAATATGAACGAGAAACGCGCAACAAGAGAGCCGTTCAGCGATCAAACGAACGCGAGCGTGATCGTTATACCGATAAATCTTTAGCCTCCTCTCGTCAGTCTACTTTGTCATTTGATCGAGATAGATACGAAAAGGATTCAGAAAGAAAGCGCAATGCTGAACGTACCAATAATCGTAGTTTCGAGAGACCACGACCACCATCACAAGAAGCACCGGAAAGACCACCTGACCAGTCCCGCTACCGTGATCGCAGATTCTACAAAGAAGACATTTATGGAGATTCATCAACTATGGGATTTTCAAATGAATCACTGCTAGTGGATAAAGATAGAGGATATGAGTCCAATTTCGAGACTAAATTAGAGAGGAGTAAAATCCTCGAGCGGCACGGGTATCCAAAGACCTCACATTCGCGCGACACCAGTATCGATAGAAATGATAATAATAACAATAATCTAAAGAATGATATGAAACCTATATTGCCAAGGCAAAGCACAGCCATGGGGCATTTGATTCAAACTGGTCGTACTTTTGACATAGAAAATAAAAGTCCTAAATTGGTGAAGAGAACCAAGAGCTTTTGGAGATTCCGCAGAGATTCCGAAGTACTCGAAGGTATGGCTTTATGGCAACACAGATCTCTCGTCGATATCCCGAAAATGTTGACAAAAGATGCGAAAGACGAGAGATCCAAGTCACGTGATGAGTCCAGAAAATCCAGTTCTGAAGGCAGCCCAGACCCATCTCATCGTAGTCTCGAACGCAAAAATAGCGACTCTACCATAACTAACGAACGAATCAATGGGCTTGAGCAGACCCTTCCGGACGAGCCTAAACCAGCTGAAAGAATGCACTTATCAGACAAAACAAATGTTGACTACTTCGATGACCCTCCGACACCAGCAGAGAGACCTAAAATGAGCGACCGAAAAGAGTACCGATCATCCAGAAACCACGAGGCACAAAGATCATACTTCGTCGGCAACGTATCCAGAAAAGCTATCTTGGAAAATGAGAGAAAACGCAGTATGGAAGCCAAGAGAAGTATGATCGTTGCTGAACTAAAAGAGAGCAGCCAAGTTAAAAGAAATGATCGTAGAAAGAAGACTTACGGCGACGACGATGACGGTCTGATGATTCATCATCAGCAATACACAGAAACTGAAGCATCTGATGAAGAGTCAACTTACAGCTGTATAATTGTGAAAGATCAAGCAGTTGCGGAGAAAACGTTGTTACCCAGAACCAAGCTCAGACGAGATAGCGAGAGAGGAGACCGAAATAAGAAGACTTACGGACCTTGGTACGACCTGTGGGGCGTCGATCAGTCCGTCATCAAGAAGAAGAAAAAGAAACAGCAGTGAACATTGTCCCGTTATTGTTAGATTTTTTAGTTTTTACTTTATTTCTTTAGTTTTTATACGTATGTTTTTTAAGACTTTTGTCATTCCATTTTGTTTGTAACTCTCATCACATATATAATACATTTTTATTTTTTTATAGCTTCAATTCATCAAACTCTGTTCGAAACTATACATATGTATGTGTTGTATTGCCTGTTTTAGCCCAGTCGTTTCGTTTAGTTGTTAGGCGAAGTGATTATCAACATAATGGTTTTAAGTTTGGTTTTTGTATTCGTGGTTATGTTGTTTGTATCTTGTAAAATATATGCAATAAATATATATGTATAGAAGATATATAACAAAACAAATGGGTTAAGTTTACAAATTGCCTCGTCTATCTCTATGTAAACTAAGCCCTTTCTTTTTTATGTGCAACGATATAATTTTTGAAACTGTATATGTGCTAGTAGTACCAGCAGCAGCAGCAGCATCATGCAGCTTGAGCCACGTCTACTTCGTTTCTCTCTCTTTCTCTCATTCTTTCTCTCTCTCTCTCTGTCTCTCTCTCTCTCTCTCTCTCTCTCCCTCTCTCATTTGGAGCCACTACGGACACTACTTTGGATTATTTATTTATCGAATTTCCATGGTAGCTTCCGAGTTAAGCCGAGAGCGCAAGTCGAGTGAAATATGATGGGCAAATAGGTCGAAATTGCGAAAGTTGTTCTGTTGGCAAGTTCGCTTGAATTTGCTTAGCCAACGCTCTCGCATACGCTTGATAATTGTTGTCCGAGGCTCGAGGGCTTATAGTCCAGCATGAACGGCTGGACTCGCTTTGAGTTGGCCATCATTACGTGCCCGCTTCGCAATGAGCTTGCGTCACGCACTGACACTGAAATCGGAAAAGAACAACCACGTATGTATCGACAGTTGTTTTAAGCTCATTTAAGAGTATTCGATTTTTCTCTGCGGTGCTCGTTCTTTCTAAGAGGATATAAATCTGACAACAAATAGAATTTACTTCTTAGTTACTTAAAAGCTTCGACTGTACTTGAAACGATAAAAATAAATCTTCGCAGTGCTTTTATTTTACGTATCATTTGTCGAGTGATCATTCAAAGTATATTATTCCTGTTTAGAGTGTACGGAAAAGAGAGAAAGAGCGAGAGAAAGAGAGAACAGTAACAGCACGTATCCCTTTACGATTAGTAGCCGTGATTTCCAGTGTAGACGTGTGAAACGCGGCAACTTTCTTTTAGGACCAACATTTTCGCGACAGTGAAGCTGCGCAAAACAAAGACCAACGATCGCTCGGCGCCGGCGCTCTCGTAAGATGCTTGGGCGAATGAAAGTACGAACTACGACGACGAGTTCCTTCCCTTTATCGCCCCGCGGCACGCCGATCTCAAGTACTGCACTAGCGTTACTGCAACTCTAGGGTCGATCCGTAAAGGGGATGTTAAAAGAGCCGAAGAAAGCCAAAATAAAATGAAAAGAAAAAAGAAGGCTGGATAGCTATAGCAAGTCTTTTTATATGGATATTTACTTGATGTTCTGAACGAGATATAACCATTGTCTCATTTTTATCGAAATGTAGTAAGTGAAATGAGTTATATTGCTGCCAATCACAGTATCGAAATCTGCAATGCATAGTGAAATGATTTGAAAATTAACCCTTGCAAGCGAACGAAAATTATTCACTGCTACTACTTATTTCAATCATGTTGGTGTAAGTACCTACAGTGATCATAGAAAAAGGACTATCCTGACAGCAAGAGGTTGCGAACAAGTTTTTATCGAACGTATGTAAAAAATAAATGAATTGTACAGATTTGTAGTATAAGAAATGTGCTTTCATGCATTCGAGTATAAGCGCATGCAATTGAAATTGTTTGTAAAATAGAGATAGTAATATTTTTTCACTTTTATTAAACATTTTGCTGATATTATTCATATGACGACGTTGAGTGTAAGGCTGAAATTCAATGGACCATCATTTGATTTATAAGCTTTCTGAAAATTATCATCGTCAAATATAATGTTATTCCAGAAATGATGTAATATCAATAAAATGATTGTAGTTATTTAGTATCATGAAAGCGACTTGTCCTGGCGATAATGCTGTGTTGTGTACGGCGTCTTCGACTGCGATTTTTTGTGCTTGAAAAACTGAACGTCAAAACTTGGGCGTATATCCCTCCGCCACAAACACCGCCACTTTTCTTTATTTCATCACAACAAAGACCTACAAAAACGTCACTGCTGTCGAAGAGTTGGCTTGTCGTATGATGAGTGTCACGAAGAAAACTTGTCTGTATAGGACCTATTCTTCCGTTACCCCGGACGAATAAGTCCCCCAAGCCGGTACTACCTGCTAGTGTATCTCGTCTTGGTTAGACTCTATGCAAACGGATCTCCTGTCCGGCTGATGTGCTTATTTTTTTGAATGGATTTTTCACTTTTATTAAACATTTCTCTTGAATCAGCGTGCTAGAAAAAGAGAAAAGCAGAGGCTTTATCGCGTGGTGGAGGTTTGGGTAGTATGTTTTTTAAGTCTATATATTTACCTAATTCATATGCTAGTTGTATAGTCAAAATTGAGGAGTTGTTTAAAACGCATGTTTGACCTAACTTATTATCAATCAATAAAGAATACAAACTTTTCTATTAGCCATGGAATACGATCAAGAAACGTAAATAACGCTCTTAATATAAGATGGAGAGTTGCAAGAAATAGCAGATATTCGAGAGATAACGAAGTTAAATTAACAAATACATTATCAAAACAAAACAGAATAAGGAAGTCTACTAACAAGAGAAAATTAATTATACTGCCATACAGCAAAAAAATTAGGTAAAAAAAGTGTTTAGTTGTAACTCCAGGCTCTGATATTACAGCTAAATAATTTTTTTTACGTAATTTCTTTTTTAATATATTATGTAAATTTTTCAAGCATTAACCAATTTCATTTCTTCTAACTTGATAAATTATAAGTTTTTCCATAACTACTAAGATTGTTTAATATTATAATAATACGCATAAGGATTATTCTATTGAATTGCGTAAGTTATTTGTCGAAGACATACATTTCTAATATTATCACCTTGAAATCAATTGTGTCCATTGAGGTATACTTCATATAACCATTTTTCGTTGCTACTAAGATAGATCATTATATTTATCAAGTGTCTGTGTTCGTAAAGACCAGTAGACAATCGTTTTCTATGGAATTTTCTAATTGTTTTTTTAATTCCAGCCATTCCGTTTTCTTCAGTTTTTTCATCTTCAGTGAAACTATTTAGTCTTTTGATTTTTTATCTTTTTGCGTATCGAATGTTACTTGTTTTTTATTTTCATGTTGAAATTGTATTCTTCTCGATTGAGATTCCACCGAACTTGTCACTGTCAATTCCATCTCTTCTTCGCTGTTTGACAGTAAAATTAATTTATCGTCCTTTTCCCTAATTATGTTATGTTTTTTTTTCAAAAAGCTTGCATTACGAATATTGAACTTGTGTCCCTATCTCATTGATTATAATGTATTTGTTGATGTAATCTCATTCTCAAATATCTGCTACGATTCCTGCAATTTCCCATTTTTTATTAAGAGCGTTACTTGCGCTTCCAATCGTATTCTATGGCGAACAAAAAAATTATTTATTGGTTAATAGTATATCAAGATCAGGTCTCGACTCAAACAATTCTTTAACGTTGGCTACGCAATCAGCATGTGAGTCGGGTAAAAGTATGCGACCAGCCCCTCATCACGAGATAAAATCTGTCTTTCTCGTTTTCCGGTACACGCGAAAAATCCATTCGGAAAAATAAGCGAGAATAACCAGATAGGCGATCCGTCTACATAAAGACTGATCGAAGCGAGACGCACTAGTAGGTAGCATCGACTTGGGGGGGACTTATACGTCCGAGGCGACGAAACGAGATGAAAGTTTCATCGCTGTCAGTCGTAAAAGCGTCGACGCGTGTCTCAGCGTTTTACGGCAGCAAGAGTTTACCTTTCGTGACTGCGACTTTGGAATCTCGTGTGCGAAATAATGAAAGCAGCCCGCGCCATGTGGAAAAATTCAAAAGGTTGCCTTTTAGATCTCACTTTTACAAGACCTTTTCCCTCGTGTAATTTATGGCCCATTTAGAGCCGATATGCGTGTAAAGATTTGACATTTCACTTGCCGTTTTCGCTTATGTATGGATAATCCCAATAAAATGATTATTCAAGTTTACGAGGTAGATAGAGGGTTTATCGTGAATTTAGAGAAAAAAGGCAAGTAAAATTTTATCGTAAAACGACTATTTCATTACGAAATCGTTTAATCACGCGAAACATCAAAGGATTATTTTATATTCGTTAAGCCACGCATCAAGATCCAATTTACTGAAAGTACTTGCACAAAATGCAAATTTCATCGGAGAGCGTGGTTTCAATAGTCAAAAACTAGAACGTACTGAAATATGTGCTCTTTGTCCCTCTTGTGTCAGAGAGGATGCTATTGCAGAATGAGCATAATGCAACGCAAAGAAAAACATTTATTAAATATTTACACGGTTTTATACGCGGTTTATTATTATTGGCAAGCATCGTTGAAAAGTAGTTGCGACTTGCTTGTCGATCATTAAATAAACGGAAAGCTGCCACTGCTGCCGTCCGGAAACTCATAACAAGCGTGGACCAAAAAGCGCGTACAGCAGGAACCACGCGAGTATGCGCGCACACGCGGAGAGAAAAAAGAATTGCCGAGACAAAAAAAACAGCCATATTCGATGCCCCACGGAAACGTCAATAATGCGCGTCCCGCTGTTATTTGCTGAATCTAGTTGGTATAATGGTACTTTTTCAACGCTGTTTTGTGGCCACTATTGCTGGCCCGTCTGGTCAAATAATAAAAAGCGACACGAGTTCTACCCTCTTTCGTTTGCATTGAGCGCGTAATGAGGAAGCTTTCACTGCGTTTCATCGAGCATTTGCGCGTTCGCGTATGATGCTTTTGGCACTCGGTGCCGGCAGGAAGAGTGGACCTGATTGCTCATAGTTCTGTCAATAAAAATCGCACTATCTACATTCGATGAAGTATAAGAATTTGATACATTTCTACCTACACTTACTATTGCTATACTACCATTCTTACTGCCACGATTTTTGACAAATCACTCTTCAACTTTGAGAGAATTCAAGACTATGATTCCTCACTTGTTTCAAAACTTTAATTAAAGTTAAGAAAACTGATAAGATTGAAAGAAAGGGTGTTCTTTTATGCCATTGAGTAAAACTATTACGATATCGATACAAATAACTTGCCATCCAGATATAGGCTACAGTTGTAAAGATAAATATATACAGTCTATTGTATGTCAATAGTGTTTGTAATTGTGCAAAGATTGATTATGTATTTC